TGATTATTTTATTTTTATAATTTAAACCCAACTAATATTAATTGATCGATAAAATATGAAATTAATGAATTAATGAATAATTTGATTTGATTTAATTCAAGGTTGTGTGACGAAATGTTTCCTTTAACTGATGTGATTCTGAAAACACAACAGCTTCCTTCCACCGCCTATATGACCTACTTGAAGAGATTTTTAGTCATTCATTATTTGAGTTTGGAACTCAATGATGCTTGACTCAATGGGGGCAAACAGTAAAAGTTTATCTTCAAAAAAAAAAAAGACAAAGCAATTATCCTAACAATTAAAAGAAAACATCATAGCTTTATTATTATGTGACCTTATAAATTGCACTGTAATTGTGTATGTGTAGATTCTAAATAATGTACCAAATAATAATAACATACAATTGGGATCTGATAACGTACGCATAGGTAGCTAGCTAGTCTTTCAAATTCTGGCTGGAGATTATAAAACGGACATTTAGTAGTAATAATAATAATAAATTCAATAGAGGAAAATTCTGTGCAAAGTTTTTAAAAGTCTGACATTTAAAAAGGATTTAGCATTGTTGAAACTGGCAGGAGGAGTTTTCAAGAAAATGTTTAATTAAAGCCAAATTTATCCAAGAACCTGCTTTAGGTGAAGACTGTGTGTGGTCATTTTTGAATTTTTCCTCGTTATTTAATTTAAAAAAAAATGACATTCTTCAATTTATTGAAAGTTGAAAATTTGTTCACTCCTACACAACTATTTAATAGTTGATAAAACATTCGTTAGTATGATTTGTTCATAGATCTTGTCCTTAATGCTTACTTCGATATTGAATAATTGATAAAACATGTGTTAGTATGTTTTGTTCATAGATCTTGTCCTTAATGCTTACTTCGATCACTCCTACACAAATTATTGAATAATTGATAAACATTCGTTAGTATGTTTTGTTCATAGATCTTGTCCTTAACGTTTACTTCGATCACTCCACACAAACTATTGAATAATTGATAAAAACATTCGTTAGTATATTTTGTTCACAGTTCTTGTCCTTAAAGCTTACTTCGATCACTCCTACACACACACATAATATTTAATATTTTAATATTTTTGTTATTAAGCTTCCAAAAATAATTGAAAATTTTTCCTGGTTGATTTATATATAGTATTTTAATATGGGCTCAATACTTTCACATTTAAGTAAGGGAAATGGAGTTGCATCAATGCCTGACTTAAACCTTGATCTTGAAAGTAAGCAAACATTCATTCGATTAATCTGATTTTATTTATTTCTCTAAATATATGTAAATAAACAATTATGCGATATAAAATTTATGTAGATGCTATACCAACAGAAACAGAATTAGCATTATATCAACATGTTTCGGCACTTTTGCAACCTACAGATGTATTATTAGATTCATTAAGGCTATATGAAGGGTGTGGAGATTTGATTAAAAAAGCAATATCAAATCCTACGCCTGATAATGAAGAAGAAGCATGGCAAGCTATACAACCTGCTGTTGCTAAATTAAAGAAATATTTTGAATATTCTACTTTACTTGGTATCAGAAAAATAATTGTTTATTATTATCAAGAAGATTAGAATGATTAATTAATGATACGATTTTAATTATTATTATTATTATTATTATTATTGTAGGAGATGCACTTCCAGAATTATTAAGCGCTTTATGTGATGGAAATGCTTTAAATAATATTGAACAACAACAAGCACTTACCAAGTTATTAGCAAATATACTAGATTTTGCTTTTGAATTCGATTCCTTGAAGGTTTTTATCTTTTAAATTTCATATTAATGAATGAGTTGTGCGTGAAAATAAAATTGCAATCACACTTGAGAAAATTAAATTAGCCAATCAAAAGGATTTCGCACCCAAGCACCCCTTCCCCTACATATTTAATTATAGATTTCAATTTCACATATAACAAATATAATGTTTATTGATTAACATTAATTATATTAATTATTTGCTTACAATTTTTTGTAGGTGAGAACACCATCAATTCAAAATGATTTCTCTTATTATAGAAGAACACTTAGTAGAGGAAAACTTGTAAATGAAGTTAGTTTAATTTATTACCATAACCTAAATTATATGTTACGAAGACCACCTTAAATAATATATTTTATTGTCATTATTGTATTCTAGGTAGATCTAAAGACAGCTATGATTGAGG